CAGGCTTGGCCTTCTCCAGTTCCTTGGTGGAGGGGCGGGAACACGCACGGTTTGGGGCCTCACCTTGGAGCCTATTTGAGCAGTGGAGAGGCTACATGAGGACATGCTGGAAGCAGGAGCCTCGCCAGGCACCTGTCAGTCAGTCCTTCCAGGACTTCCCCGAGGGCGGCCCCCCTCTTCTCGCTAGGATCATTCCCAGAATGGCACTGGTAAGATAACACGCCTGGCCCAGGGAGCGTGGGATGGAGTGTAACCTAAAATTAGCCCCCTGAACCAAGTCAGCCTAGGGGCTGACGCCTAGCCTTTCAGCAGTGTTGTTAACAGTGGGAACTGAGGGCCCACATGCTCCAAGCTGGGGCAGTAGGGCCTCCCCAAGGAGGGGCCGCCAGGGCCTGAGCACCTCGCAGAGGGGCGAGGGCAGCAATCCTGGGCAGTGTGGCCTGACGCTGAAGCCCCGAGAGTACCTGGAGCCTAGGACTCGACGCTGCACAGAACGAGTGAGCCTTGCAGGCCTGCAAACCTCTGATCACCACCCTTCGTAGGCTGTTCCCTCTGGGTCCGGGATCTGGGGAGCGCTTGAGAGGTCGGTAGGGAAACCCACCAGCAGAAGGCAGAAGGGAGGAGGGATAGAATGCCAGCTTCCTGCCTTGTCTGTCCCAAGAGGGTGTGTCTGCCTAGGTCTAAACGGAGCTACTTCTTGAGGGCAATTGCCATCATATACTACAGGGAGGGGGGAGGTTTGTCTTTGTGTCCCTGTGTGCTGTTGGTGCCTGTGTATGTGGGTGCAGTGGAGTGAGCTTAAGGGCACAAAGGGCAGTGCTCCTCAGGGTGGGAGGAGAAAGGTGAGGCTTAAAAATAGTCTATTAATGCCTGAAAGAGTGTTCTAGGGCACACAACCAGCCGCTTTCCTATAGGAGTTCTTAACCTGGATTCAAGGACCCCAAGAGGGCCTTAGATAGAATTCAAAAGGTCCAGAAACTTGGATGGGCTATTACCTGTTTTTCCCCCTAACTTTGAACTGAAATTTACCATTCCCTTCAAGAATAAATGCAGGCTGCAAATGGCAATAGTATGACCAGTTCCTGTAACTTGGTCACCAGAAGAAATCACAGACATTTCATATCATATTACAGTTGTTGCAGAGATTTTGAAATGTCATTTATGCTCACCACTTAGAAATTATTACTAGATCTTGTTATTTAATGTTAATAAAGAACATCTATTACTATATTATGCCATATAAAAATATTTTGTTAGCAGTATTTCAATATCATTGGTTTCCTTTAATTCTATATATTTTATTTTATGTATTAAAAACCATTCAGAAAGGAGTTCACAAACTTCACCAGTTTGTCACAGAGGCCAATGTCATTAAAAACGGTTTAAAACTCCTGAGATCAGGAATGGGCTCCTTGCCCATAGTGGGAACATAATAACTCTTTGATTAATAAACCACAGCAAGGTGAGGTTCAAGAATACATTAGCTGGATTTTCTTGCCCTTATCTAATGGAGGCAACAATTCACTCAAGTGCCAAAGCCAGCTGGAAGCAATGGCTTGCTCTCCCTCTGGAGGCTCATTATATGAGCCCTGCTGTGAGCTCTTGGAATGACCTTGGTGAGAGCTTCAGCATTTCCCTAAGCCACTCCATTCCCTCTTCATCTCCTCAGACCCCAGTCCTCAAAATAAAATAGTAAGAAGGGAATCCCTACTGGCCGTCTGAAGAAATGATTTGTAAAGGAACCTTCCATTACTGGAATCCCTGGAATTCAGACTTACACTCAAAAGCTGAGGATCCTGGAAATTGCAAAGTGACTCTGCCTGAGGCAAGTGGGAGGGCTATGTATTTGTATTTCATGTTGCCACAGAAAGAACAGGATGGGGAGTAGGGGAACCTGGATTCTAATTTGGACTCTGCTATTGCCTTGATGTAAGGGACCTGGAAAATCCCTTACCTTTTCTAGCCTCAGTTTCCCCATCCACAAAATGGGGATAATATTACCTATCCCACTACATGAAATAGCTTTGAAAAGCACAAGATTGTAGGTGTGTTCTGGGTTCTTGTTAATAAGACAACTGACAATAACAGCCATATGACCATAGGAAAGTCACTGCTCCCTCTGAACCTTGGTTTCCCTATCTCTAAATTGAAGAAATTCAATTAAATAATGTACAAAGTCCATTCCAGCTCTAAGGTTCTATCTAGTACATTAAGTAGGGAGCAATAGCCATAGAAATTGAAGGCCAAAGTAATAATCATCACCATAGTAAAAATAGTTACAGAGAACTGTGTTCAGGTACTATTCTAAGTACTTACTTTGTACTAACTCATTTAATCCTAACAATCCTCCTCCGAGGCAGGTACTATTATTGTCCTCTCTTTACAGATGACAAAATGGGCACCGAGAAATTAAGTGGCCTGCTCTAGGTCACACAGCTACTAAGTGGTAGAGCTGGGATTGAAGAACTCCAGACCCAGGTTTTACCACTACCCCATATGGCCTCTCCATCTGCAGTGGGAGCAAAACAAACCCATATAGGAGTTACAGTGCAGTGTGATGACTGCTATAATGCTATAAGAGCACAGATTCTGGAGGAATTAACTCAGCAGAAGGAACGGCATGTGGCAGAAAGAAGCATGGTGTGTACAGAGAGCCATAGTTTCTATTCCTTTATTACAGGGTGTAAGTAGAGGAGTAGTAGGAAGTGAAGCTGGAGAAATTGAGCAAGATTGTCTCATGAAGGACCTGTGAGCTAGGCTAAGGTATTTGGGCTATAGCCTGAAAGAAAGGGGAGCCATTAAGGTATTTAAGACAGAGGATTGGTACAGAACAGATTTGTATTTTTAAATTATCACTTTAACCACAATGTGGAGAACATATTAAAAAGGGAAACTACTTAGGAGACTGACTACTAAAACTGTTGAGGCAAAAGACAGTGGGGGTCTAGATAAAGCACTGGCAATAAGGATGGCTCCTGAGGGGAATGAATGGCCTGGAGAGTTCTCTAGGAGGCAAACTCCACAGGACTTGATGGGATTGGAAGAGAGTGGGAGTCTTAGGTTTTTGGTTTGGTTGACCAGGTAGACAGTGAGGACATGAGATATGGATATGGTCATGGTGACGTTGTGGGGTGGTGGTGGAGTAACATTGCCGTCTTTGAAGTGCCTGAAGAAACTCAGTGGATACATGCTTGAAGCTGAAGAGAGAGAGCTGAGGGCTTAGCAGGGGTTCTCAAACTTTTTAAACAGGGGGCCAGTTCACTCTCCCTCAGACCAGTGGAGGGCCGTTGGAGAGTGAGGCGCACATTCCACACATGCACACTGTGGGCCGGGATGAGTCGGCTGCTAAGCAGGAAAGGCAGCAGCGCTAAAACACCTGGCAGGCTGGATAAATATCCGAGCCCCATGTGGCCCTCAGGCCGTAGTTTGAGGACGCCTGCTTAGAGCGATAGGCTTGAAACCATCAGCATAATGGTGAGAGCTAGAGCTCTGGAACTGGAGAGAAGAGGATGGAGGAGAGAACAAGGGGCACATAAATATTTCAGGGGAGAAAAATCAGGAGAGTGTGCTGACCAGGAAGCAGAAGGAGGAGTTTGGAAGAAGGAGTGGTCAGTAAGGACAGATGTCCAAAAAAACTCAGGGAAGTAAAGATCTGAGAAATATCCACTAGATTTAGCCACAAGGATGACCTTTTGAAGAACTTTCCTGGTTTATGATTGAGGGTGGGTGGACCCATACTGAACAGAGTGGAGAAGTGAATTGTTTCAATAAGTTTGCTGAAAAGGGAGCGATGGAGAGAAAGGTAGCTAGAGTGGAACAAAGGACCATAAAAGTTTTTTGTTTTGTTTTCTAAGATGGTTGAGGGGGAGGATCCAGTTTGAGGAGGATAAAGTTACAGAGAAAAAAAGCTCACCTTTGAATATCTAATATATGGTAGCTCTCTTCCTCCTAACAGCCTCATGAGGCATACTTTCTGTCTTATAGATGAGGAAACTGAGTCCCAAAGAAAGGAAGAGACTTGCCCAAGTTTACTCAGCTATAAACTGGGGGTGCCAAGTTGCAAACCTAAGTCTGCCTAATTTCCAAAATCCTGTCCTTCCCATTTTTACCCTAAGAATGCATAAATATATGGGCCATATATGAAGTTGATGCTGGTGGGTGGGGAGGGGCCTAAAGTTGAGGGTGACCCCACCCACCCACCTCACAATTTTCTTTCTATGAGGTGAGTACCTAAGGTCCCAAGCTAACAAAGAGGGGTGGAGGTGGACAGTAAATAAAAGGAGGTATGAGGCCCTGAGACCTCGGCTGCAGGGTATGGGGGAGAAGGAGGACTTGAGCTCTGAAAAACCTACCAGCTCATCCTGATGACATTACAAACTAAGGTGGGTGACCTTGACTTTGGAGCACTAAGAACAGAACTGGTAAGGTCAGGGGTTAGGTTGAGTTAGTCATTGGCCCATGGTGGTTTCGCAGGGCCTGAGGATTATGGGGAGAGAAGAGTTGAAGGTTGAGGCAAAATTCCAGGGTGGGTTGAGCAGAGAGGATGAGAAGAGGGATAGAGAAGCAGTGGGTTTCTGAGGAGGTGTTGGCAATCAAAAGGACTCCTGGACTGAAGTGGTCCTGGGGGAGAAATCAGTTATTACCAAAGAGAACTTGCCATGGAAGCCTCAACTGCTTCCTGCCATCTATTTGTCTTCATTTTACTTGGAATGTGTTCTTTGTAATGCCGCCTCTTCATTTCATTAGTAAATGTCATTTAATACCCATTTCCTGAGAGCTTCTGTTCCTGAAGTGTGGGGCCTATGTCTGAGGGGAGGTTACAAAAGGCTCAGGTGAGGGAAATTTGATCAGATATAAGGGGCTGTGAAGAAGTTAAACTTCATCTAAAAGGCCAAGAGGTGAAGTTGAGGGCCTTCCCCAAAAGACTAATGTCAGAATGCTTAGGGATTGAAGCTTGACACCACAAAGCACTGTTCTGTTGGCCTAGCAACTGCCAGGCCAGAGCCACCTCATTAATCTACACATTCTGAGCTGAGGAAGATGCCTCTACCAAATCCCTAGCCATGATGTAGGCCCTACTAGGAGTGGAGGAATACAAGATGAATACAGGGTCCTCGCCCTGAGTTTACACACTAATGGAGCAAAGATAAGTGGAAATGTGATGTGAAAGTTCATAGCTGAAGTCCAGTTGTGATTCTTTGGAATCCCTGAGCAGGAGAAGGAGGAGATTGGGGAAGGCTTCCCAGAAGTAGGAGTTTGAGGGGCAGGTAGAACAATATATGCAAAGACACCAACCTGTGTAATGGCCTCATCTGTTGTGGAGCATCTCCAGGGCCTGAAATAAGGCAGTGGGCATGGGAGTGAGAAGTGGGAAACCCATGGGTAAGTAGCCTGATGGCGAAGGGCAGGGGTGGCAAGGAGTTGGTGGAGAGGCTGGCATCCAGATTTTTGATGGGAACCCTTAGTCTCTCCCTATTTTCTGTTGCCCACAGATCTGGCATATCCTCCTGCTCATAATGAGAATAGTCCTGTTCCCATTAGCCAAGATGAACCTCATGGACATCACCAAGATCTTCTCCCTCCTGCAGCCCGACAAGGAGGATGAGGATACTGACATGGGGGAGAAGCAGGCTCTCAATCAAGCAGTGTATGACAATGACTCCTATACCTTGGACCAGCTTTTGCGCCAGGAGCGTTATAAACGTTTTATCAACAGCAGGAGTGGCTGGGGCGTTCCTGGGACACCTTTGCGCTTGGCTGCATCTTATGGTCACTTAAGCTGTTTGAGAGTCCTCCTGGCACATGGTGCTGACGTCGACAGCTTGGATGTTAAGGCACAGACACCACTTTTCACCGCTGTCAGTCATGGCCATCTGGACTGTGTGCGTGTGCTTTTGGAAGCTGGTGCCTGTCCTGGTGGTAGCATCTACAACAACTGTTCTCCTGTGCTTACAGCCGCCCGTGATGGTGCTGCTGCTATCCTGCAGGAGCTCCTAGGCCATGGTGCAGAGGCCAACGTCAAGGCTAAACTACCATTCTGGGCATCAAACATAGCTTTATGTTCTGGCCCTCTCTATTTAGCCGCAGTCTACAGACATCTCGACTGTTTCCGCCTGCTTTTACTCAATGGAGCAGACCCTGATTACAACTGCACTGATCAGGGTCTATTGGCACGTGTCCCACGACCCCGTAGCCTCCTTGAAATCTGCCTCCACCATAATTGTGAGCCAGAGTACATCCAGCTGCTGATCGATTTTGGTGCTAACATCTACCTTCCATCTCTCTCCCTGGACCTGACCTCACAAGATGATAAAGGCATTGCATTGCTGCTACAAGCTCGAGGTGAGTGGTGAGCAGGCCAGCCCCACAGGCCTTCTGGCTTGGACATCCCAGGGACCCAAACTAGTGTCCAAGGCAATCCTCTGAAATAAACTGGAGAAAACTCCATCTTCCTCCCTCTCCTGGGGCCCAAGTAGAGAAGTTACAGATTCCATGTTACGGAAAGGGTCACTAAGATAAGGTGGTGGGTAACACTAGACCAAATTCTGGTCCTGGCTCTGCCAGTGACCATTTTGTGACATTGAGCATGCCTTCCCTAGGCCTCAGTGTGACCCCATTGGCACCATGCACTGGGGGCAGAGTGAGGGACATTTCTTATAAGGGAGAAAGCATTAGAGCTGTAGTAGCCAGGGAAGGGTGTATATAGGCTTGGGTGGGAGAATTATGATGAGAATTGCTCCTCATTACCCGTTTCTCCTTGCTGTAGCCACTCCACGGTCACTCCTATCACGGGCCCGTTTAGTCATCCGCAGAGCCCTGCGCCAGGCTGGCCAGCCACAAGCCATTGACCAGCTGGATATTCCTCCTGTGTTGATTAGCTACCTCAAACACCAACTGTAATCCTGCAGTCTGCCCAAGAACCCACGATGCCTCCAAAAACCACCTGGTGACCCCAGTAGCTGGAGGGCACTACAGCTCCACCCACTCACCTAGAGCTGCTCTCCTGTATTATCCTCCGCAATAAAATCCTCAACAAAATAAGTCCTAGTATCTGCTGTGTCTTGTGTGTGTGTGTGAGGGGGGGCTTTTAGGGAAAGGGGTCTGACTGGCTATGAGGCAGGATGGCAAATGGTATGGCATCTAAGAGGCAGAGGAGTATTGGCCACTGAAAGAGCAAAAGAAAACACTAATCAAATGGCTGTACTTCCCCACCAAGATCCTCTAGAGAGTTTGGAGCTGTGCTACCTGGAACAAAGTCCTAAAGAATCCAAGTGGGTAGAAGGATAGCATCAGCTTTCCCAGCTCTGTGCCTCTCTTCACTTCTCTGGCTACTACAAGGTACATTTTTCAGGGCCTGACCTCCCGTGCCCTATTACTTTGAGTGAATGTGACAAAGAAGCACACCATTCACTCACTTTGAATCATAGGCTGCCTCCCTACTAGTCCAATTTATAGTCATGATATACCCAGGAAAATGAACTACTAAATATTTATGGTAAGGAATTTAATGCAGAAAAGAAATTGGTTACATAGGTGATAAGCTGAGAATCCTAGCAAGACAAGCCAGTAACCCAGAAATCAGTGATAGCAAGAAGCCAACATCACCCCTAGGCTAGAGGAGTAAGGAAGGATGTATTTCCAGAGTTCATCAATAGGGGTTACCTGATGGAAAGTGGAATTACAGGCCTGTCCATAAGAGCCATAGAACCACAGATGAGACATGCTGCCCAAACCAGAGGAAAGGAAGAAATATCCTCTTCTTTCCCTCATTCCTGCCCTCCAATCTGCCTCTTGGGTCTCTCTCATTAGGGAAAATGGAAGTCAACTAATATGAGAGCCTGGGAAATCACTTACAGGGACTGCCCCCTTGCAATCCAGGACAGAGCAGGAGGAGGGAAAGAAGGGAGGGACATTGGGAGTAGGCGGTGTGACCTGCTAGGAGCTAAAATCATATAGAATTGGAAGTATCAACATTGTGTTCCTGTTGACAGCAGGAACCACAGAGGAAACACAGCAGAGCCATCCCTGAGGCAGAGAAGGCTGAGGCTACCTGGGTCTTTCCATTCAACCTCCCATTGGTTGGACCCAGCCAGAAGGCAGTTGACTTGGGAAAGCCGCTATGATGTGGAGAAGAGCGGGGTTAGGAGGCAAACAGGCCCTGAAGCAGCACAGATATCCACTTAAATCCAGGTACCTTCATTTTGCTAAATCTTCAACCTTTCACAGTATATTCTTGTATTTCCCCTGCACAACTGTAGGTGGGGATGTGAATGAGCAGTGAAAGGAACACAAGGTAAAGGGGTGGAAGAGGAGAGCCCAGATAATCTGTACCTAGGAAGCACTTTAGATGTTTATAGCTGTTCCTGGGAGCTGCCTTGATAGGCCCCTACATCATGCTTCCCTATCAGAGGGAAAGAGAGGCAGATCATGGGTCTTAAACTGACTTGCTTCTCCCTTCTTTCACCCCACCCCTGACTCTCCCCAGACACTAGTGCCTGAGAAAGACTTTAAGAAGGAAGGTGAGAAGACTGGACATCTATCTCTGTGCTCCTGCCCTACTCACCTTCCAGACTTTCATTCCTAGGCACTTTAGAGAATGGTGCAACTGTTATTCTTCAAGGGGCATAAGAACTGAAGGACTAGGCTGTACTAGGTTTCAGGATAGGCAGGTTTTATTCTATGTTTCATTCAATCTGGGCTCCTGAGGGGTGGTTTGCCCAGGATCTCACCCCTGGTCCTGCCTGCCATCCCCTTAGTCAGGACTGTTGGGGATTAGGAGTCAACCTCAGCAGCCCCATCAGTTATAGGCCTCCATGAAAGAAATGGGGCCCAACCAGGGTAGCCTCCCCCATGGTATCTGTGACACAGACTCTCTGGTTGACCCAAGAAAGCATATGGACACTCTGGGCATTTCAAAGGACTTGTGTTGGAGGAAGTTATAGGAGCATACCAAATTCTATGCAAAGAGGAAGGACTGAAACTCTTAGTCCCATTTCCTAGTGAGGAAATTGAGAATCCAACAAAGTTTAGTGCCCAAGAAATTGGTGGCCCAGCTCTCTAGATTACTCTCAGCTGTTCTTTCTTCAGTTGCTTGTGCTGCTAGTGGGCAGAGACAACTGCAGGGCCTGGTGCCTTAGTTCCTTCCCTACCCCTCAGGCCTCACCATTCCCATCTAGACACTGGGCCATAGGTTGAAATGGATCATCTCAAATTCTGATGATGACTCTTCCAAGGCAATTTTCCCTAGGACATATGAGGAGGAAGTAGAGATGCTGTTACTGTTCCTGGAGCAAAATCTCCCCCTTGGCCTTTAGTCCCTTGTTGGCACTGACCCCAGGTGAGAGCCTAGTCTCCTCATCCTCCCCCAACCCCCACCACAGCCACTAACATTCAGGAAGACCAAGTCTTAACTACTTCAGGTAAGATAGGCCCCTTCCTTCCCTCCCCCTTCCCTCCCTCCCCCTCCCTCTCCCTCCCCTCCCCTCTCTCTCCCTCTTTCTTCCCTTTCCTCCCTCCTTCCCTCCTAATTATGGTCTGAATGTTGTTATTCTCTCCAAATTCATATGTTGGAACCTAATCCCAAATGTGATAGTATTAAGAGATGGGACCTTTAGGAAGTAAAGTCATGAGGACTACACCCTCATGATTGGGATTAGTGACCTTATAAAAGAGGCCCCAAAGAGACCCCTCACCCCTTCTACCTTGTGAGGACACAGCAAGAAAGTGCTGTTAATGAACTAAGAATGGGCTCTTACCAGACACCAAATCTGCTGCACCTTGGTCTTGAATTTCCCAGCCTCCAAAACTGTCATAAATAAATTTCTTCCTTTTAAAAAAATGTCTTTTAGAGGCAAAGTCTTGCTATGTTGTCCAGGCTGGACTCAAACTCTTGACCTCAAGTGATCCTCCCACCTCAGCCTCCTGAGTTGCTGAGACTACAGGCACATGTCACTGAACCCAGCTGAGAAATAAATTTCTGTTGTTTATAAATTACCTAATCTACAGTATTTTGTTACAGCAGTGCAAACAGACTAAGATACCTCCCTTTCTTCCTTCCTGACATTGCCAGGAGCCTGGGTCATAGCTCTGCTTTGCACATGTCACTAATCGGCCTGTACTCTCTCCTGCAATGGGAAAAGTCTTTTTCTTTACTTAAAAGGATGACCCCCCAAGGACTAGATCCAAAATGTGAAATAGCCCACAGGAGTCAAGAAACCAGAAAAATCCCCTTCAGCTGTTAACTTGACAGAAGGCCTGATGGAGGGGGTGGTATTTGATCTTTGCTTTGAATGGTGGAAAGAATTTTAATCAGCAGAGAGGAAGCAAAAGGTATTAGTGCAGGGAACTTGGTGAGCAAAGGCATAGGAGCAGGAATACATAGGCAGTTTGGTTTGAGTCTAGTGTATTTGAACAGGAGCTAGGCTGGGGACTAGACTGAAGAGGGCCATGAATACCCTGCTTTTTTGGACTTGAAGATTTCAGTTCTTAGAATGGGACATGCACAGTCATAGGAATGACTTGCTGAGTGTATGAAGAACATGTTCCCTGATCTCCCAGGACAAATTTGGCAATATTACCTTAACCACTCTCTTGTGTGGACAAAGCATTTCACTGCTTACAAATTATTTGCACACCCATCATTTCATTTACTTCTTAGAACAATTCTGTGAGGTAGGCAGGATAGTTTTTGTACAGATGTGGAAACCAAGGCCCAGAGAAGGGAGGAAGTTTTCCAAGGTCATACATTCAGGCAATGGCAAAGCCAGGACTAGAATCCACTGGGGCTTCTGTTGCCCAGGCCAGGGTCCTTCTCAAGATGTTATGCTCTGCCTCATATGTGACTGGCAGCACTGGAATTGGGGGGCATGGAGGTGGCATGCCCTGGCTTCATTTTCCATGCCTGAGCAGTGTCAGGGAGGACTCTCTCCCACTGAGAAGATGGCAGCCCATTAGTTGTCAGAGGCCCCATCCTGTTCCCCAGGACTGAGCTGGCACTAAGGAGTGACTATGGCCAGGTAGGGAAAGGTGGCAGCCCCAGGCACTGAGGATAGGCTAAAGGGACTGGGGTAAGCCAAGAGTGAGGGGCTAGGCATATAGGAGGGTCAGAGCTCTCCATCTCCCTGCCTAGAGCTCAGAGGGGCTCTGACTCTGCTTTTGCTTGTTATTTCTACCTCTAAAGGGACTTCATTGTTTCCCCAGATCCGAGGAAACCCTTAGTTAAGCCAACAACCATGTGCTTCATCCTCATATCTTCTGAGGTCTACCCACTATAAGCACAGATATTAGCTTCCAGCCACCACTCTGCTTGCTACCTCCTACTTTGCCAGTCTCCAAAGAGGCTGCCTCTTCCCAGTACAAAAGCAGAGGCTGGGCTGGTGGCAGGGTCTGGTCCAGTGATGCCTCTGATGCCCTGCCTGCAATTCCTTTACCTACTTGACTCTTATACCACCACCCACTCTCCATTTTAGCACCCTTGGCCTTACCTGGAAATGCAGGTCCCCCTTTCTAGTCACCATTGCCCGATTTCCCAGAAGTTATATTCCTGGAACTCTATGGTTTGATCTCCTAGAATCTCCTACTCTTTCACTCAACAAATAATAAATTGAGTATCTATTTTGTGTCAGGTACTGTTTCAGGCACCACATGACGCCTAGTTTCCTCCACTTTCCCTGCCCTACCACCTTTCCTTCTCTCACTGTTCATCTCTATTCTGTTTTCAATCACCTCAATTTTCTATCCAGTAACACATTAACTTTCGATCAAGCCATTGTCATCTCCTAAGCCTGGGCTGATGAACAACATAAAAGAAATTGAAATGACTAATCATCAAAATCTAAAGAGTTGAGAGTAGAACAATGGTTACCGGAGGTTGGGTGCCTGGGGGAGAGGGAAAGAGAAATTGTTGATCAAAGGTACAGAGTTTCAGATAGACAGGAGGAATAAGTCTTGAGATCTATTGCATAGCAGGGTGACTATAGTCAATAATAATGCATTTTATATTTTAGAATAACTAACAGTAAATTTCAAATGTCTCACCATAA